GTTTCATCAAGACGCTACTGGGACTCTGTCAAGATGTATTTTGGGACTAATGCGATAGTGCGACGACATTTTTAGGAATCATAACGACAGAGTTACGATTTGTGATGACGTACTACGAATTACCAAAATTTTAATTTGACGTCACTACGATTTTACAAAGACGCAAGCACGACGTTAGCACTGTTTAACAAGACGCACATCACAAAAACAAACATCACATGACAAAAATGCGCACTGTTCAAACACCATCAATATTTGCAAGCTGCTGCTATAGAAGAAGAAAATTTGTTGGCTGCTATAGATTTGAGTAGGCGTCGGTCACGTCAAATGCATAGGCCTAAACGAAGTGTATGGGTACAGTCATGGCTCTTACGTCGTCCATATTTTAGACAGTATGAACACTTACTAGTAGAGTTAAATAGAGAAGACCCATGAGGCTTCAGAAACTTTCTCCAAGTGAGCAAGGAATTGTTCAATGTGTTGAAAATCCTTTCTGACACAGAGCTATGTGACATAAACCACGGTCTTGATGGTATCCTGGTGGCATCGTATCTAATCGTCTCAGCACCGCTGCGACGTCTTGGCTTGTCATAGGTGTTGTTGGTAGTACAAATGGACAAGACACAGTCATGGCAAACAACGACAACGTTACGCCACTCACACGATGCAGCTGCGGTAGACCAAGATCTTTTTTCACGGGTACGATTTAGCACGATTTTTTGGAACATTCCAAAAAAATCGTGCTCCATCACGATGACATCAAGATCAGTACGATGCAATACGATGAATTATTTTTGACCACGACATTTATGACGACGCTATTGCGATTTTTCAAAATTGAAAAATCGTGCTCTGTCGTAACAAAAATCGTGAATGTGGGAAAGGGGCATTAGTTTTTAGGAGATATTTAGTTCTGGGACGTTGGAACTTAAAATGACCCTCAAATTCAAACCCAGAATAATGTCTTCCTTGTGGCTTAGTTAAACTATCTTGAAAGTTTCAATTAGATCAACTGAATTGCACTTACAGTAAGTGTAATTTAATTATACTTAAAAGTTGAATTCAATTCAACTTAAGTGAAATTACAATGTATAGCACTTAAATTGAATCCATTTCCACTTAAGTGCAAATGAATTCAATTTAAGTACATTACATTCCATTTTTTGTTCATTTCTTAAATGAAGATGGAAAAAATGATATCTCTGATTACGGTATTAGTAATTAACGACTATTTTTGAACACATCTTCTGTAGTTACTTCTACACGTTGCTTATACCTCTGTTCCGCAACCTATGGGTCGCGAAAAAAAAATTGATAGGTCGCATAATCTCTTCAGATCGTGAAAACTTTACTTAACAAGAATGAAGGCAAACAAACTGAATTTCACTAAACGAAAGTGCAATTTAAGTGTGAAAAGTGATTGAGTTTACTATTTGTTATGAGTGCGTTATCACAGTTTCATGTTAAAAATATACTATCAAAATATTTGTACTTCAGGTATGACAACTTTAAAGTATTAGTTTTGTTCATTTCAATGTTTTAGGCTTTCAGCTGCAAGTTATAATGAGAAAACATTTTTAAGTTATATGTATGTATGTATGTCTTCGCTTAACCCATAAATCTCTTGCAGCACTAGGAATTTGTAATAAAATGTCTGTTAATCATTAATTTTTAAAAATTTTGAACTTACTGGAAAATTTAATAACTTACGTGATTATTTAAATGATTTAATTTAAAGTTATAATTTCATTTCTATGGCTTTTACATAGAGATTGTGTGGGTGATAATATCTTTTAAAGTGGGTGGTTTTTCCCGCTATCCCTCAAACGTATAAAACGACGGACGTTTTAATCACTTCGGGTTTGATGGGTCGCGTCAGACTGCTTAACATATAATTTGGGTCGTGGGCTAAAATTGTTGCGGAACGGGGACTTTCACTCTACCCCTTCACACCCATCTAATTTGATCCGTATACATATTTTGTAATTACCAACTATTCAAGTACATATTTTTACATCTGACAAGCTTAAGTTTAAAGCTTGTGTTGGTCTAGTATCACGGCTTTATTTCATTGCTTGTAATTTATATAGACCTATATAATTGTATACATATGGAATGCGTTGTTGTCAATTATACTAATGCAGTAAATGCTATACCTTCAAAATAGTTTTCATGATATGTTTACAATTTGGTTTCTGATTTAATAGTTGGTGATCAATTAATGTACATACAAATTTTTTTAACATACATTTTTAATTAACGTTGATATCTTTGATATAAACAGCACTTAGTGATAATCTATTTACCATAAACCATAATATTAGGTTTATCCAACTCATTTGTTTACGTAAGTCATTGATATCATGCGAACAAAGTACATTTGAATCACAAAAATTATACACTTAAATATCATTAATGAAAATAATAAACTTTGATTAAGGACAGACCCTTGTGTGATAAAATCATCATTCAAAGTAGTCACATTCGGAAGAATGATATTTCTTTTATA